ACGACAAGTGGCTTCGCCAGGCCGTGGCATCTGCTAGTGTTCTGCTGCGTGCTGGAGATCCTGCGTCCAAGCAGCACCGGGGTCTAGGGTTTAGGGTTTAGGGTTTAGGGTTAGGCTTTAGGAGTCCAAATGCAAAAAAGGGTTAGGCTTGAACACCTAATTTTGAATCCACCAATTTTCTCTTCGTTTCCAGGTGGCTGCGGCTAAAGCACTTGGCCACGCCTCCCCGCTAACAGCTGCTCGGAGATGAACTGGAAGAACGCCCTGAACTCTACAAAAGTTGACAAACATATACTTCCTGGCACGGAGAACCCTGGGGCTGCATGACGTTCAGTATGGAGATTATATATGTATATACAGACTATACATATATACATATACATACATATATATATATATATATATATTTACTTCTATTTATATATACGGATCAAGAGACTAGAGCGACTAGAGCTGTCAGTGGCGTTGGTGGTTGGGGAAATTCAGAGACACACGCGGTATCACAGCGCATCCACGACGAAAAAGCAATGCTGGGCTTGCCGTTGATTTTGCCCTCCTTGACAGGTGGATGCCATGGTTCAGGCACACGTCCAGCAGGTCTTCCAGAAGGACCTGCAGGCATCTGGTCTAGTGAAGCCAGACTGCTTCTGTGTGTGGGCCCGCTAGGCACCTTTTGCTTTGTTGCAAGTTCCAAGTGAGAGTTGAAACCCAAGCAACCCAGAGGCAGATCTGGGCGAATTGAATGAGCGAGATCGCTTGCGGCTTCAGCTACGGCGCACATCGGTCTTGCCCGTCGCTTTCCGGGCCGGGGCCCATCAAACGCGACCCTAAACCCTAAACCCTAAACCCTAAACCCGAAACCCGAAACCCGAAAACCTAAACCCTAAACCCTAATCCCTAAACCCTAAACCCCAAACCCCCTTGTTTGACCTTTGGTCATAGTCTGCAGCATGCTTGCTGCAAGAGGTGACGTCGACCACGGCAGACCTGCAAGAGCTGCACGGACGTGACTTCAAGGAGCCGGGGAGGGGTTTAGGGTTTAGGGTTTAGGGTTTAGGGTTTAGGGTTTAGGGGTTTAGAAATGCAGTGGAAGATGCCAAAGACTCCAAGATGCCTGAAGTGCCCCCCCCTGTTTTGTGAGAGGCAACCCTAAAGGCCCTAAACCCTAAACCCTAAACCCTAAACCCTAAACCCTAAACCCTAAACCCTAAACCCTAAACCCTAAACCCTAAACCCTAAACCCTAAACCCTAAACCCTAAACCCTACCTAAACCCTAAACCCTAAACCCTAAACCCTAAACCCTAAGAGGATGGTGCAGACTTCGCCGCGTGCTCTTGCTGTAAAGAGAGGCGGCTGACCGCGACCCTGGGCCGCTCGGCCTCGCTAGCAAAGGGACGTGGAATTAGCTCGTATAGGGGTTTAGGGTTTAGGGTTTAGGGCTTAGGGCTTAGAGTTTGGGGTCTAGGGTTTAGGGTTTCGGGTTTAGGGTTTAGGGTTTGGGGTTTAGGGTTTAGGGCTTAGGGCTTAGGATCATTGTACATTGTACAGTATTGTATTCATGGTTGTATGCTTCTCATTTGTTGTAGACCGCGCGGGACTCCTCGTCCGAGCCTTCTACCCTGGCAGGGTCCTTAAAAGGGGGGGGGGGGGTGGTCCAAGGGGGGTATGCCTATATCACCCCCACATCCCACAGAGAATTCCTGGAGCCCCCAGAGGATCAAGTCCCCCAAAAAAGTCCCGCAGAGTACCAGCCGAAGCCAAGAACCAGGCGTCTCTTCTCTTACGCAGCCTCTGGTTTAAGGTTTAGGGTTTAGGGTTTAGGATTTAGGGTTTAGGGCTAGGGTTTAGGTTCATGGACACTTGGCATGCTTTGCATGGGGGTTGCGCCCTATGCCCCCTCCAACGCATCGAGGGAAATCTCAGCGTGCAAGGATCAGCATCAGAGCAAAGAATGAAAACTCAGGAAGCCACAGCAGCTAAGCAATGTCACGGTAAAGCTGCTTCTTTCTCATAGGAGATGCTCTCCAACTTCTTGTCGCTCGCCCCCTTTGCTAAAGCGTTCTCCTGTCTCTGGCACCCTTGCCTCTGCAAACCCGAAACCCTAAACCCCAAACCCCAAACCCCAAACCCTAAACCCTAAACCCCAAACCCTAAACCCTAAACCCTAAACCCCAAGCCCTAAACCCTAAACCCTCAACCCTAAATTGTTGGTCCCCGTGGCTTTCGAGGCGACTGCCATCTGCTCAGCGGTGGCCTCATGTCCGCAGAGCAAGCGGCCGCGGATGACACGTCCAGATCGCCGGACTGCGTGGTGGAGCTGGGCATGGACCGGTTTAGGGTTCAGGGTTTAGGGTTTAGGGTTTGGGGTTTAGGGTTGGATCAAAGCTGAAGGGAATTGGTTTTCAATCATGTCGCGAGGAGCCGCCATTCACAGCCACATTCACGGCTTTCCCTCCCCAAGTTCATGGCGAGGCAGCGAGGCTGGTCTACAGCACCTGAGTTGCGTTAATCTATGGCCCCCTCAGAGAATTACGCATATCATCATTTGTATAAACCTCAAGGCATTTGTGACCCTAAACCCTAAACCCTAAACCCTAAACCCTAAAACCTGTACTGAAGAGAAGCTTAGTTGCCCGGTATGGCAGGCAAGGCATGCCATGTGCGCAGGCCGGGTAAGCAACGGGGCACCGGGTAATCAAGCAGATCACAGCCTTCAAGCGGGTTTAGGGTTTAGGGTTTAGGGTTTAGGGTTTAGGGTTTTTTGATTTGCCATCTTCTCTGAAAAGGCTTAGGCCACAGCCTTTGAACATATGCTGAGATGCAAGCCATCTTGGCATGTGCATGCCAATCGCAAGAAGTGATCAGCCCGGGCCAAGCAGCGTAGCCATCGCAACATATGGCCGCTGAAGAGCTATACGGAGGAGCCAACGGACAAAAGCAAAATAGTTGCTGAGATGTGGAACTCGACCCAGCCCCGTCAGAATCAAGTATGAAGAGCTGCAGTTTCTGCCCAGGCAAGGTGCATGCGATCTGCCCAGATGGCCAGCACCGTGCGATTCTTCTGGGCGTGCCTGCTGACTCGATCACAGAGGAAACCCAGGCAGACAAGCCTTCCAAGTCTTTGTCCGAAACTCAGCGAACTTCAAGTGCCCCACACTTTTGTGCGTCATTCTGGATGCTGACTTGCGAGGGGACAAGGACACAATGGCGCAGATGTGCGCAGGTAAGCCCTAAACCCTAAACCCTGAACTCTAAACCCCAAACCCCAAACCCTAAACCCTAAACCCTACGTGATGAGGTCGCAGCAGCTCTCGTTCAAGTGCGGCCTGCTGCGCCGCACCATTGAGCGGGGACGTCTCTTCGGTGGCGGTGCTGCCGCTGTCCAGGAGGCGCCCGTGCGCATGCATCATGCTGTCCTCTTCCTAGACCCTAACCCTATAAACCCTAAACCCTAAACCCTGAAAGTCCTGAGTGTGTGCATGCTCTGGGGGTTTGGCCACATGTGCCGCGGCCTCGGAAAGCAACGGAGCGCTGTGGACTGCGCTGTGGACTGCTAGCAGAGAGCGCGTGCCAGACCTTAAACCCTAAACCCCCATTTGTTCCCCACCCTCGGTGTGGGGTTGTTAGATTTTAAACTCAACTCTGCTCCTCGCCCGGAACTCTTCTCCTCGCCCGGTCTACTCCTCGCTCATCCGTGGAGTGCCCAGCCCCACGTGTCCCTGGAGTGCCCAACTATGGAGCCCGACCCCAGAGTCTCCCTAGAGTGCCCAACCCAGAGTGTCCCCGGAATGCCCAGCCCTGCCTGGAGTGCCCAACCCAGAGCCCAGAGTCTCCCTGGAGTGCCCAACCATAGAGCGTTGCCCCACCTCCCAGTATCTCTAGCAAGAGAGAGTGGGGATGTTGGAAGTAAAATATGTTTTTTTGCATTGGAGCTTTGAGGCGCTACAGGCGATCCTGGACTCGGGAGAAGCGCTGGCGACTGCCGCAGCCCTTCGCTGCCTCCTGCTCGCTGGGATCTCAGTGTTGCTGTGAGAGTTGCAGGGTTTAGGGTTTAGGGTTTAGGGTTTAGGGCTGCAGGGTGCTCACAAGGGTACTCCTTGGGATGTTCCCCCTTCTACCAACACCTCCTTCGTAGGGACCATAATGCCCCCTAATTACTAAACTCCCTATGAAGGAGCCGTTAGCATAAGGGGGCAACATCCCAAGGCGCACCTTGTGCCACCGCTCTGGAGTGCCTGTCCTTTCTAAACCCTAAACCCTAAACCCTGAACCCTGAACCCTGAACCCTGAACCCTGAACCCTGAACCCTGAACCCTGAACCCTGAACCCTGAACCCTAAACCCTAAACCCTAAACCCCAAACCCCAAACCCTGTCTGTCCTTTGCAGAAGGTGATGATGGACTCAGTGCGGCTCTGGAAAACACGCCCGGAGCACGTCAGCTTCGCCACCTTGTCAATGCAGACGCCTCAACAAAGGGTTTAGGGTTTAGGGTGTTCTGACAGTACTTGGAGGTTCATGTCGCCTATGGGTTCGTTGTAAGTACAGTTATAGCCCTATTAGGGGGTTATAAGTACAGCTATAAATGGTTAATAAGTACCATGAACCTCCAAGCTAGGAGTTGTCCTGCAACATGCAGGTTGTTGGCCTGCACTGAGTCCCAAGGCTCGCAGTATTGGCCGCGAGTCTCCCATCATGGCGGCCCCCGCCCGCACTGCGTGCAGCCTTGCTACGCACAGCCAGTGCTGGGCAGGCTGCAGACCAACAGGAGTGGCCCGGACGCATGCAGCTACAATAAGTACCATAGCGGCAGGTTCTTCACTTGGAGAGTCATTGTCATGTCTTGCAAGCAGCAAATGCCCCTCCGGCAGCTTGGGTTCAAGCACGGACACCAGCAATTTACTTGGACAGGTGCAGACCGTACATAAAACCAAGATGTGGGTGTTTAAAGGAATCATGAGCTGCCATTTCGCACGGGGAGTCGTTGCTTTGAGCTGAGCTATGGCGGATGTGAAGGAGATCAAGATCTTGCAGCCCGATGACTTCCATCACCACTTTCGGGATGAGCCGTATCTGGAGCACACAGTCCCTCATGCTGCAGCCGCATTCTGTCGGGTGCTGGTGATGCCCAACCTCGTGCCGCCCGTCACGACCACTGCGGCGGCACTTGCTTACCGTGAGCGTATCCTACTTCGTGTTCCCGCGAATGTCAAGAAGGAGGACTTTATTCCCTTGATGACGCTGTACTTGACGGACAACACCACACCTGAAGAGATACTGACAGCAAAGCAGAGTGGGCACGTATATGCTGTGAAGCTCTACCCTGCGGGTGCGACCACAAACTCAGACTATGGGGTTACTGACTACGAGAAGATCATGCCGGCACTGCAGAAGATGGAGGAGCTGGGTATCCTGCTCCTGGTGCATGGCGAGTCCACAGACCAATCCGTTGATGTCTTTGAGCGCGAGCAAAGCTTTTACGAGACGGTGATGCCCATGATCCTCAGTCGCTGTCCGAATCTTCGGTGTGTGTGTGAGCACATCACATCGGCCGCGGGTGCAAGCTTTGTGGAAAAAGCTGGGCCCAATGTGGCGGCTACCATAACTGCGCATCACCTGTGCCACAACCGCAATGCGCTGTTCAAGGGTGGGATCAACCCACACTACTACTGCCTGCCCATCCTGAAAACCGAGCCTGACAGACAGAAGTTGCTGAAATGCGCCGTCGACAATCCAAAGTTCTTCTTGGGAACGGACTCTGCACCGCACTCCTTGGACAAGAAGGAGTGCGCCTGCGGCTGTGCGGGGTGCTTTACGGCACACATGAGCATCGAGCTGGTCGTCGAGGCTTTCGAGGCCATTGGAAGGCTAGATGCGCTGGAGGACTTCGTGTCCAAGCGCGGCGCGGCTTTCTATGGCTTGCCAGCAGCATCTGGCACTCGCGTCCTCGTGAGGGAGCCGTGGAAGGTGCCGGAGAACTATCCATTTGGAGACAAGTCTGTGCGGCCGCTGCGTGCGGGTGAAACGGCAGCTTGGAAGCTGCGGCCGAGACTTTGAGCCTTTTGGGCACAAGGGGCTTTGGGGGTCTTGCGCAGTCGAAGATTGCTGAAATACTAGTGCCATGTCTGGCAAAGCGGTCATCCATCAGTCTTAAATCGCGTTTCGACGTTTCAGTTTCATGCGGGCGTTGCTCGCAGATGTCGAGCTCGAGCCGCAGTTCCAACAGCTACAGCTACAGCTGCATCTTCCGTCAATGAAAATAAGTTCCAAAGAGATTGTGGGCACTGCACGACACCTGGCCCTGTCAGACGTGTTGCAAAGCACTGTGGGGGTATGTGCACGTCGCGGTGGTTCCTGGGATGTCCCCCGTTCAGGTCTTACATGCGCTGGAAGACGTGGCGTAAGCCAAGCGGTGGAGGTGATGATGGTGGGTTTGCGGCTTGGCGTATGAAGGGGAGTTCTGAGATCCGGCATCTGCATCTTGCACACTTGAAAACATGACCAGGACTGGATGGCAGGCGATGAGCTCGCCGACATTCGGAATGCACTGCGCCTGCTGACGAGAGGCTTCCTGTGCCTGTCTGCAGACGAAGCTGCTCGGCTGGGCTATAGCACACTGACCACGACGCGAGTGCTGCATCTTGCATGCATCTTGCCAGTCTCGTAGCTCAGGCTGGTATGGTTTCCTGCTTCTGAGCTTGCAGACAGACAGTTGTGGCCCCCTTTGCTTTTCTTGCGCGACGGGTGTGCCGAATTGCGCCGACTCTGAGGCTTTACAGATGCCATGGTGAAGCGGGGAGGTTTGCCCATCTACCAACTGCCTCTTCCCAAGGCTGATCTGGAGGAGAGTGGGGGTGTCATGGGCGTGTTGGGGTTTACGAAATTAGGGGTAGCTTATTGGGGTCCTGATTATAAAGGGCTTCTCCTGGGGTCTAGATTAGTGGTCCCTGATTATCGTAAACCACCAGGTACTTGTCCGAAGTCCAGTCTCAACAAGTTGACAGCGTGTGCGGCTCGCAAGGAGACGCTGCCTTCGGAGTACCACGTGGCAGCTGCCTCTTTGCAGTGATAGTGGGATGGTGTAAGTGACATGGCAGTTCTCAAAATGATGGTCCCACCCTAACCTTAGGGACCGCCTTAGTGACCCCAGAAGGTACCATAATTTAGAGAAGTGACCACATCTACACATGTCCCCATGAACATGCACCCAACAATCTCCCAGAGCCTATCCGTAAACAACACTGTAGCTCTACAGTTTGACTTCAGCGGGCCGAAATTTGTAGCTAGCGGGATCGCACAAAGCTACGTTGAAAATCATCACCCACCAGTTCGTAGAACTTGAGGTGGACTGTTCCGTGCTGCCGCACCTGCCACTGCATCTTCAAGCGTCACTGGGAAAGCCACCCCTGTGTGAGAGCACCAACTTGAAGGACTGTCGGTTCCACCGAGTCGGGTACAGGGTAGAGGTTCCGGGTTGAGTGGGCGAGGAGGCAAAAGGCATCAAAAGCAACTTCACAGACTTGCCCATTTTGGCTTCTGGCAATCAAGCGGGGCCCCCTTGATTCTGCAACCGTAGCTTTGTGTATGAATTTCGGGTGGGGGACTCGAATTCCCTTTTTTCGAGCCCGGCGGAAATGTTTACCCTCTGCAGCCTTTTGGCCGAACGGCCACCACAAACTGTCCGAAATCCCCAGAACTAGGGGCTTATTAATCTAGTACATACAGTGGTTTTGCTTTACGAGCACTGCCATGTTTCGCGAGGATCTGCACTTGCGCAACCTCCGCTTTTTCATAGAACAGCCGCTTGGATGCACCGCCTCGCCGTATTTGGGTTCGTCAGCATCCATGTACACCATGTTGGGGGAGCAGTTCCAGGGGGCTTTGAGTGGCTCTGTGACTGCAGGACGCAGTTCAACATCCGGCATCAGAAGGACTTGAAGACACGAGGCCAGCGGCGCACACCACACCCATCGACTGGCTTTAGGCCGCTGTGCTTCGGTGAGGCGGCTACATCGCAGCAGGCGACATGGAGCGTATCATCAACTACATGGATGAGGACTGAGCCATGGTGCCGCCACGGGTCGCCTGTGACGGGTTCACGACCCTTTAAACCCATTAAACCCTTAAAACCCTTAAAACCCTTAAAACCCTTCAAACCCTTAAAACCCTTAAAACAGCCCTAAGAGCCCCTTAAAAAGCTATTCGCAACAATTACATTGGTTTAACAAGAAGAAAAAAGGTTCTATATTTTAGACCCCAAAATAAACCAATTTAGAGTTATAGAAGCCGCTCCAGGAGCACTTTGCTGCCGGCCGGGATCTCGCAGAGGCTCGGGCGCTGCCAGACGACTCGGCCCTGCGGCCCTCGAATGCAGAGGGTTTCCGCTGCGCGGAGGAGTGCCGCAGCACAATACGTAGTGGTCATGATACGATTAGTATTGATAGTAATATGAATAGTATTATCGATATTAATGCAAATCATATTTATCGTAATAAGAATACGACTAAGGCTCCAAATGCTGACCCTAAACCCTAAACCTAAACCCTAAACCCTAGACCCTAGACCCTAAACCCTACATAAACCCTAAACCCTAAACCCTAAGCCCTAAACCCTAAACCCTAAATCCTTGCCGAGGTGCCACCTCCAGTCCGACCGCTGTCGTGCCCTTCGGGCCACCTTGGAGGCGGTGCAAAGGTCCATGCTGGCAGCTCGGATGCCTCGGGGGCATCTTGTGTGCTCTTGTATTTCTATTATACTCTCTCTCTCTATATATATATATATAAGTAAGTATATAAGTATATAAGTATATAAGTGTATAAGTATATAAGTATATAGGTATATAGGTATATAAGTATATAAGTACATAAGTATATAAGTATATAAGTGTAGAAGTGTAGAAGTGCATAAGTGTGTCAGTGTATAAGTATGTAAGTATACAAGTATAGAAGTATACAAGCATATAAGTATATTATGTATGATCGTAGTCGCGAGGATTGAGGTCGCAAGGTTCCGGACTTTCGCGCTGGCTGCTTTTGCTTGTTGTGGAAGGTTGCAGGCGAGTGCGCCAAAAGCTGGTTGAGGAATGCGCCGGTGTTGCACTCTTCCTGCTGTCGCTGCTTGTGGTTGCCTGAGGTAGACCCTCCCAAGCGAATGCCACCCAGCTCCAGAAGGACATTCTGAACATGTCTCAACTCTCAATTTAGCCTTGCAGAGCGACAGGCATTGTTGAGGCCTCCTGTCGGGGTATGGAGGGGGACATACTTGTGGTGCAATTGCCTGGCGAAGAGAAGCGAGACCTCCGTGTTGAATGTGCTGCTCCGGCTACGCGATGCCGAGTACCAAAGCTGCTGCCTATACTCGTATGCCCCCGGGTTCGTAGTAGGGAATGAGGGAACTCGGGCCCTATATATAGCCTTTAAAGGATTACGTAGGGGCCCTCCTTCCCTCATTCCCTACGAAGAACTGGCCAGCATGTCCACATTGGGTTGCCAGCTCTGGTGTCTGCAGGAGCAGTGGAAGGCAACAGCGCTTTGAAGGTGACGGTGCTGTCAACGATGGCAGCTCCCGCCTGGCGACTGGTCTCATCCGGGGTCGTATGCAGATGTGACATGTTTAGGCACGTTTTTTTTGACACAGCCTCGTAGTAGAATGACATACTCTACTCATATCATAATACCATAGTAGTCATAGTATCAAGAATGTATGTACACGGAAATAAGAGTAATAGAATAGCCATACTTGAAGATTTTTGATGTAACAGATATAGATATAGAGTTTTGTCCCAGAGCAATCACATCCGTAAACCCTACAACCCTGAACCCCCATGAAACCCTAAACCCTAAACCCTAAACCCTAAACCCTAAAAGAGCCATCATATGGCTCTCAGGATGCATTCCTCAGCCTCTTTGGTGCTTCGCGGGAAGTGAAGGTCTCCGTGGACGGCAAGGCCCGTGAGGTCTGAGGGACTTTAAGGTTTTAGGGTTTAGGGTTTAGGGCGAAGTAATTTGGGGCAGTTCTCTAA